GCCGGGCTCAGCCCCGCCCCGGCCCGGCCCGGCCACAGCAGCGGGCGCGCAGGGCGCGGCGGCCCCTTTAAGAGGCGCGCGGGGCGGAGCGGGTGGAACGTTGGGCGCCGGAAGCAGGAGCGGGAGCGGAAGCGGAAGCAGCATGGAGCGGGCGGCAGGTACGGGGGCGTGGGCTCTCGGGGCCCGGCTGGAGGGGTCGCCCCTGCGCTCAGGGCCCCCCGGTGCCGCTCCGGGGGCAGGCGGGGATTCCCCCTGCTCGGACTGGTGCGGACTGGGGGGGCGGTGATGGAGCTGGGGTTGGACTGGATGGGGCTCTGGGCTCCCCCCGCCCCCACGTCCTTTACCTAGCTCTGGCTCCCAGCAGCAGGCCTGCGTGGCTGCCTGCTGTGCCCGGGGCCAGCCCAGCCCTGCCCTGCTGCTGTGTCGCGGGGCTCCCCGCATTGCTCCTCTGCTGCTCTGGCTTCTTCCCCTTCTCAGGGGAGTTCCCCCCTAGCTGTGCCTCCAGTCCCAGCGGCGTGGGAGCGATTTCATTCTGCCCTTCAGGCCTAAACCCTTGTTTGCCACCAGGAACCTGCCCCCAGCTGCGCTACAAGCACTGGGGATGGGGCAGTGTGTGCTTGGGTCAGGTCCTGCACTCTGGCTGATGGGTCTGTGCACCTCTGCAGCACGGACGTGCCCCCAGAGCAGTGTGAGGTGGCACAGCCTCCACACTTGTGCTGGTAGTGCCAGGCATAGTGTCATGCTGCTGCAGCCCTGGAGCAGGCTGCCAGGTGGAGAGGCTTGGAGCTTGCTTGGGAGATGGCCCTATGCACCCCTTGAGGTGTGGGGCAGGAGGAAGGTGAAAGCCAGTGGGCCCTGCTGGAATCTCCCTCCCTGTAGGTCTCTGGCCAATACTTTGAGCCTTGGCCTAAGTGACTTGCCCCAGGTTATGTTGCAAGTTGGTGGCAGAGCCAGGGAGACCACCCAGGAGTCCTGGTGCTTGGCCTGTGCTGAGACTTCACCCCCAGCCCACCACGGGTTCCCGCTGCAGTTGGGCAGGTTTGGGTGGGGGGTGTGTGTGTGTGTGTGTGTGTGTGTGTGGGG